AACCAGTTGTATCTTTCCGTCAACAGGTAATTAAGTATTTTAAAAAAATGTGTATTTCTGAATATGTATCTACGTTTGAGATAAAGACATCTGTGTAATGCGGTTATAATGCCAGTTATATATGTAGTAATGTGTGTAATAATATGTGGTTATAATGCCGGTAGTATATGTAATAATGTGTGTAATAACATGTGGTTATGATACCGGTTGTATATGTAGTTATGTGTGTGATAATATGTGCCTATAATGCTGTATATTAAATTACTGTAATTGGATGTTAGTTTATGTAAATTGTTATGTCTGAAGCATTGACTGTGAACATCAAATCTATAAAATCCGTAATGAGAATTACAATGTTTTCACAAACAACTTAAAGTGGCCCAAAACAGTATAAGTGTGTACTAAAAACTGTACGTGCTTCCTAGAGGCATAACAAACATTAAAGTACCAAATTATGGCCAAGAATAATTGTTAAGAGATGCACGTTTCAGTTGGTAGGACTATTTTGTTGTAGTGTTTCATTTAGCAGTATTGTCGTTATATTATGCATACAACGTCAATTTCAGGTGGCACTAACATTGTTTATAGTATAAGAAATAACATAATGAAACAAGCATCTATAAAAAATAATAAATAGCGCTACGTTGAAATATCAATAAGTCTGTTTGGTTGGTTATTGTTAATCACAAAGCTATAGAAAGGGCTATTTGTGATCCTGTGTTATGGTTTTGTTTTGAATTTGTTGCAAAACTACACGAGGGCTATCTGCGCTAGCCGTCCCTAATTTAGCAGTGATAGACTAAAAGTAAGACAGCTAGTCAACAACACCTTCCGGCAACTCATGGGCTACTCTTTTACCAACGAATAATGGGATTGACTGTCACATTAAGCGCCTCCATGGCTGAAAGGGCAAGCATGTTCGGCGACGGGGATTCGAACCCGCGACTCGCAGATTGCGTGTCGAGCGCCCTATCCAGCAGGCCCTGCCAGACATTTTGTATTGTGCCTAACACGGATTTTAGTAAGTCCACAGAATTACTGCTGAGCCACAGGGGGGCATATTCATAAAATCAAAATATAAGCTCCCCAGTGACACAGCAGTATGTCTGCGGACTTACAACGCCAGAAATCGGGTTTCGATATCCGTGGTGGACAGAGCACAGATAATTCTTTGTGTAGCTTTGTGCTTAATTACAAACAAACCAACAAACCAAAATATAAATCAATATTAAATGGACTTACCAAGATATGATATAATTTAATTAAAAGATAGAGTAAAATGTGATTGAATATTTCAATATATGTTTTTCTGCACTTGTTAGATGCAAACCTTTTATTTTGTTTAAGCGCAAAGCTGCATAATGGGCCATCTGTGCTGTACCGACCTCAGGGATCGAAACTCGAAATTTAGCGTCATAAGCTCTCAAGCTTATCGCTGAGCCACCGGGGGATAAAATATGATAAAATTGTAAGCGATGTATTTATTTGTGTTTTTGGAATAAAGTGTATCTTACGAAGTGAATTAATAAGTCAGGAAAATTAGGTAACATTCTGCCTTCATTAACAGCTGTTTTAAGTCTTTGTAGGCAATCTTCTGAACCATTCTATCCTTTAGCATACCAATTATTTATATTAAAGTAAAGGGGAAGTAAGATAAAATATGCAAGTTTCTTGACCCTTTATTTGTTTCTATCACAAATGTTTTAAAATGCTGTGTGATTTCTTGTTGTTATAACTCACATTTTAGTCAAATTTAGCTTTCACCAGCTCGCTCCTTCAGCGGCGCTTACTGAACAATTTCAACCAACAGCAGCAATACGTGTGTGATTAGAATAACCTGTAAATGGACAAAAATCTAATATACTTAAAAGCCAGTTCCTGTCCGTAGGTCACACTTTTATTTTGGTAATATTTAACAATAAACATCGTCACTTAGCAACAAAACCATCATCTGGTATTATTGTTGTTAGGCAAATAATGGTATCTATGTTGAAAGCCTGGAGTTGGGGCGGGACTATTGCAATTGGGCTTATGTGTGTGTGTCTGTCTGTGTTTCCGTAAGGATACATATCCGGATTCTGGATCACTTTGAAGCATTTTTTTTATAATGGGGAGATAGAACATTTTCGCGGTTTTGGGTTAATAACTCTGTACAGTGTGATTGGATTTGTACCAAAATTTTATGGGCATATTAAGGTCGAGACTCCTCATCACACTACAGAAAATGATCCAGATCATTGATCATTCTGGATCTGAGAAGGATTTCTAATTTTTCGAAGGTGAACTTTGACGTTACACAACATAAACACACGCAATCTCGAAAAGGAGCAGCAGGGTGAGGGTATGCGATCTTTCTGATTGTTCTTGTTCAATTTCTGTAGTACGTGTTGGTGTATTAAAAAACATTTTAAAACTAGAGATAAACGATCTTATAACCCCAATTTTGTTATATTTCTTTAATTGGACACTCAACGTTTCGCTTTACAGCTTCTTCAGTGTTATAAAGTCGTTTATTTCTAATAATATACATGTTGATTTGTTAAAAAGGTTTGCTTGTATTTTATCTTTTGATAACTACGATGATATAACAGCAAAATAATTTAATTCATGAGAAATATTATGCACTTGGGCCTAGGGTAGGCTATTACACACCACGTTTTTACTTTGGATTTAATTAGAAAATACAGAAAAGAAAAATGATACCTTAGGCTCTTATATGGCATCGTGATAAAGTTGTTTCGCAGTTGTTTGATGAAGACTTCTACGACGTTTCTGATGTTGAGTTGTAGACAAAAGCAAAGTAAAAATTACTAAGGGTTTCAATACACAGGAACACGGTTCGGCGGTCATATTGACCGCGTTTATTTTGACGAGTAAATAAACCAGAGCGTGGCTTTTGACAAAATATGATGAAGGTGCTTAAATACCCATCTGAATGCCTTCAAATCACTTTGTTATTTTAAATTATTCGAAAAATTTTGTAACTATAAGTTACCTGTATGAAATTATTATGATAACAGAGCATTGAAGCCAATAATTACCAGTTACACTATATTATCACCCAGTAATTATAGGCCTATTAGTTTTACAACAGTTGTGGGAAAGGTTTTGGAAAATCTTATAAAAGATGCTTTGCAAAGTCATTTAACAAATTTTAGAACTTTATTGGATAGTCAACATGGTTTAAGTAAGGGAAATTCTTGTCTTACAAATCTTTCGACATTCTTTGGAAAAGCTACTGCTTACGTAGATGGGGGTAAGGGTGTAGATTTGGTGTATCTGGATTTTCAGAAAGCATTCGACAGTATTAAAGTTAATACACTTTTAAGGTAATTTCCATCCAAATTGTACTTATCATTCAAATTACGATAACCCACATGCATTATTTTGCATTTATTATAATTGAAAACCATCTACCATTTATTCACCCAACTTACTCAATGATCTAAATCCTTTTATAAAGCAGCAACATCCTCTTCACAGCTAGCAACACCAAATACCTTAATATCATCAGCAAATTTAATTTATTGACCCTCCCTTTCATCTTTGTCATTGATGTAAATCAAAAAGAGCAAAGGTCCTAAAACTGAGCCATGAGGTACCCCACTTGTGACATTAATCCAGTTTGTCTGAACTCCATTTATAAGAACCCTCTGTTTTTTTGTTTTTTTTCATCCAGCTACTCTTCTACCTAATTAACTAACTTATCTCCCACAGCTATAGAGATTTTTTACAAGCCTTTTAGGTGGTTCTCAAATGCTTTCTAAAAATCCAGATACACCAAATCTACACCTTTATCCTCATCTACATAAGCAGTAAAATTTTTCTATGTTTGTATTTTATCCTGTTTTAAATCATAGGTATTGTAAATATATTCTGAAACATAAACGTCAGAATATAATGAGAAGGGGCAGCTCGAAGTTATATGGAATAGGTTTGTTCATATACAGCCAGATGTAAAGTATAGCGCTGGTTGTTAACTATAATATAGGCCTAAAAAGCTTTCTATTATCGCCCATAGGGCTGTAGTTATCCCTCTTATTTTCCTCTTAAAAGACACAAGTGCGCTATTAAACTTTACATTTGAAAGAAGTAAGATTTGATAAGTTATATTTGTGTCTGGATCTCTATATTTAACCGTCTGATGACTTATGTAATGGCTGTAATTGGTGGTAGAATGAATGGAGAGTCTACTTTGTTTACTCGTCAAAATGCTCAGCCTCGTTCTCGCGACGACCTTCACACACCATATAAGGAAAAATGTGTTCTTGTGTATGAAGTAGTATTTCAGCTAAGCCTTAATTTCTGTTGATGTATTAGGCCTAATGCTTAAATTAGGCTACAAATAGACCTACTATTACTAACGTTAGTGTCAGATAATATTGAGTTACATGTGTACAAGTATGAACATCTAGTATTTAAATTATGCAATAAAATGATTTAATATTTACATACTTTCTTACAACAATAATATAAAAATAGGAATACTAAAAACGTTTCAAAATGTTGCATTATGCAGCAATAACTAAAATAGTGAAAAGTTTTCAAATTTCTTTTAGGACGCTTTTAGACATTAGAAATAACATGTAAAATTCTTGATTGAGGCATAATGTTGAGAATAAACTAAAAAATACCGTAAGGCTTTAATATGATATTCGTAAATTTATATAAAAGTCATGAACTTTGACATGATACTACTGTTTTTACTCTGATTACAATTTAATATATATAAAAGCTGGTTGTCATTTTGTGTGTGTAACGCTCAGATTATGAGTCATTTTTCATATAAGTTACTCCTTTCTTATTGATTTTTGAGAATGTACTTGAAGATTGTTTTTATTTTCTTAAAGTGTGATCGTTTTTCTTTTATGATGAAGGAAGAGATGGGGCTCCAGGGCTTTGTTTTTTTTTTTTTTTTGTTACAAAACCTTTCATCACGTCATTTTTTGATGGGCACGTCAACTAGTATTATTTTAAATATCTATTTTTTCACGTTTCAGAACCGATCATTGAAAAAGGACCAAGCAATAAGACAGTAGTAATTGGAGACACGGTTATTTTTTCGTGCCTTACGAGCGGAGATCCACAACCAAGTGTATCATGGCAACGAGATGGACGAAGCTTACATCACAATGGCCATGCAACCTTTCAGATTCTCGACAGTGGCGCCCTCTTGCTGGAAAATGTAGGACAAGCAGACGAAGGTAGTTACCACTGCATTGCTAGGAACGACAAGGGTGTCCAGTATTCTGAAACCGCCAGGTTGGTCATTGATGGTAAGTAGGCATAATGTAGTATTTTTCAGTAATTAATAATACTTGTATTAGCAGAGACCCACAAAACATTTGCGGTCAGATTAGTATCTTTATTGCAACAGTACTTTTTTATATGCAGGTTTTCTAGAATAATACAAAATAATTCTAATGGGAGACATCGAAAACTGCAAGTCCACTTGTCTTAGGCCTAACATTAGTTGAGCCTTTATTAAGTATGGCCTATATTGGATAAATAGATAACATTGTAACTTGTGTACGTTTTTTTGCTTTAATTTAGTTTGGGCTAAACATTACCATACTTAATATTATCAATAAATAAACTTGTAACGTTATTTTACGACCTAACGCTAGACCTTTTTAAAAATTTTGATAAGATTTTAATATGTTGTACAAATAGTCTACTAAAGTATATCTACATCAATTGAAATGAAGTGTGTGCGCAATTTCAGAACAGACAGAAACTGAGTATTATTCTAATAGATTTATCGTGATATCAAGTTAGAAATGCATAAGGTATCCTATATTAATTCACATTGAGGCTTCTGTGAATCATACTAGTGAATCACACTTCTGTTTCTTTCATACTAATTCAGGTAAAGGAGTTCAATCTCTATTCTACAAGTTACCTTTCATAACATTTTAGCTGCCTTCAGATTTTTTGGAAAATTCTGTATTTTATTCCAAGAAATATTATCACAATAAGAAACATATGAACAGTACTGTGGTTATTCACGCGTCACAGTAGCAATATCCAGGTACGGTGCTGCCCTTGGAACTCCTTACTACATCGTTGGCTAGGCTCTGTCTGATGGCCATGATTACGCGCTATTATCAACATTGTAACCAAGCCACTGCGGAGAATGGCAGGATCAGTCCTATAGACCACACATTTTTAAATACTTTCCACCAGGCATAGAGAGGTAGGTGGTCGAAAGCAAACGCGCTTTACACATAGGGCAGGAGGGGCACGTGCCCCTTTTTAATTTAATGTGCATACACTATTGTTAACAAAAAGTTAGGCTGGCAAAATGACTAAGTTTATTTTTATGTCTCCCGTCCACTTTCCAACAAAATTAGGCATCGCTGATTAAAAGGGATTGCTGTGATTGTAGTTTCTTCCGGAATCTTTCCTATGAAGACAGCCATTGATTTCAACTTTCGAGATGTGACTGGTAGCTAATCAACTTTTGGTTTAAGAACATTCTTCAGCTTCAAATCCTTGTTTATAGTGTTGTAAACAGTAATAGGAGATTTGCATATAGCTTTTTAGCATTGGCTTTTTAGTTCAGAGATGTCTCTTTTTTTTTTAACCACAACCTTCATTTATTTGACGAGGTCGTTGTTCCGGATTAGTTTAAGGTATGGTTTCGGTATAAATTAAAGTATGGTTTTGAATTAGTTTAAGGGGTGTTTTATAGATTAATTTAAGGTGTGGTTTCGGATTAGTTTAAGATATGGTTTCGGAGCTCCTGTCCTAAACCCCTGCTATGCAAGTTTTCCTCATCCATGGAGAACACTGACAGGTTCCTTCTTCGAAAAGTTGTTTCCTTTGTACTACACCGCGTAATATTTTCGCTGTACAGATGTTCCAGGGCTATGACATATTCCCTCAGCCATAAATCTATCTTGGCAGCATTCACTGCACTGTAGAATGGTCGGAAATTTACCGTGAACCAAATAATAAGTGCAAAACTCGTCGGCCTAGCATAATGGCGTGCATCTGCGGCGATACGTCACAGGATTAGCATACACAAGTCGTTTATTTCCAATGTAGTTAACATTTTTTACATGTTGTGACTTATGTGCACTCCACTCGTTTCGGATCATGTAATTGAGCAGTTCAATTTCTGACCGTGTACACGTTAATTGTCATTTGACTCTAACAAAACGATTAATTAAGATGAAAATATTTATAAACAATTAAGCTAATTAGCGATGTCATAAAACTACGGGAACAAGGTATGCCCTCAATGTCTTATTGAAAATCATCCAAAACAGCATATCTCAGGAGTAGTTTTAGAGATAGTGGTTAGATTAACCGTGTTTCTGAAAACTTTATTTTACCGATACATGTCTGTTAGTTCACTTATAGCAACAATAATGAAACAAAAACTCGCTTGAAAATTTCTTTCTTGAGTGAGAACTGTAAATCACGGAACAAATTATACTTCATATATCGTTGTTTAAATACTTCTGGCTTAAGTCACTGTTTAGTTCATCTAATTCCGTAATCGAGCGAGTCTCTTTTAATCGATACTGAGCATTAAACTATTGGAAACGAACGTTGATGATTTAATCCTGCATCGAGCGAGTCTGTTTTAATTGATCCTGTCTGTTTACTGTTAGAGATACGCCACTGTTTATTTAATCCTGTATTGGGTAAGATTGTTTTAATTGTCCTTTTCTGTTTAACTATTGAAGATGAAACTGTTTATTTAACCATGTTTTAGGTCAGAATGATCTCAGAATTATTGAAAAACAAAAAACAATGTTCTCCAAGAAGTAGTGTTAGAACAGATGTTACGTTTAACCATATAGTTGCAGGGGCGGACTGGACTCTAAAATTCTACCAGGAAAAAAGCGAGAAGGTTTGTCATGAAAACAACAACAACAAAAAAAATACTTATGAAGTACGTGTAATTTAATGTTAAAACACTAGTCGTACATAGTTCACAGGATCTGTAAAACACAGAGGATCCCTTCATAAAATAGAAGATAACGTCTTCAAGACAAAAACTCATTTGTAGCAATTATGGGATGGTGTGTGAAACTCCAGTCTTTTTATTTTATTTGATTAAGAAACATTTTAAAATGTTCAGCACGTACTGTCAGACGATGTTCTAGCTGTTGAATTAACTATTTATTCAGTGTTATATTAGATTGTTAGTCTCCAGTGACAAACAAAGGTTTAAAAATTGTACTTAGCTATAATGACTGTATATATATATATATATATATATATTGCAAATGTGGTATTACGTCCTCGTCAAAAGGTAATGTTAAAATCTGATTTTATGTAAAGCCACATTGTGTACCTGACAAACAGCTTTTATCAGACTTCATCGAGTTCTCCTGTGTCACGAGTATTCTAAAAAGTTTATTAAATGGATATTTTCCCAGAGATATCTACACACATTGACACTCCTGTTCTTTTTTAATGGGCGTTTCTTTTTTTCATTTCAGAGTATTTCGAAAAGTATACATTAAAATTTAACATTAGTATCAAAGAGTCGTTCATTTGCTAATGTTTGCCTGAGAAAGTTCATAATAAGGACTAGAAATTACTTACAGCTGTCGCTACAAGAGTTGTTGATTCAAGAGGGTGTGAAAAAGAAAAAAAAAACGTTTTCTAATTTAAATTAACTAGTGATAGAAGGTGTAGTATTGTATGGAGGCATTTTGGGATCGGCTAAAAGTTAATAAGGACGCGATATCAGGGAAGTTACAGTTCAAAGACTAGACTAGTGTTTCAACATGTATTAAGTATTTATATGTGTTGGGGAAACTAAATGTGTGTCATGTAAAAGGTCAAAACCTCTGTGATTAAAAACGTTTCGCTAACGAATGCATGCATTAAGTAATTAGACGTAATAACTTAAACCTGGGTCTGGTTTGAAGGCAATTAGGCTAATGTTGATTTTTTTAATTCTAAGAATTCATTAGCTGAATCTAGTTTGAGGTTTTTTTTTAGAAACGTGCCTCGTGTAGTGTATTAGTTGATTCATGATAACTTATTGTATTGTGAAAGTTTGGTTGTACCAGAGTAACAAAAAGAAAAACAACTGCAAACCCAGCACGTGATGAGGGGGGGGGGGCCTCAAACTTCTTAGCTTGAGGCCCATCAAGACCTTAGACACCCTGGCTGAGGGCCTTTACACGATGATTTAATAGAAGATTTAAATAATAGCCACTATGAGGTGCATTACTTTCATTAGAATTTATTATCTTAAAAAAGTAAAGCAGAAACAACACTATAGCCATATTAATTTGAATAAATATAATTAACGACGAAAATACCGTTTTGTGGACCCCAGTTTGGGAATCGTTGACCGCTGACTGACCACCTGTAGTACGTACAGTATGCTAGCTTCTCGTACCCTCTTGTTAATGCCTGTAATAATAATAAAATTATATATATATATATATATACATTACATAACTGAAGAAGTATCTATCATTCAGCACAGGTTCTAATTTCGCAATTTTGGTTACCGCTGTAAAATCTACATATTTAGCCCTGGCTATTCACTCCTTGTATCTAGCAGATACACGTTTTTTGTGTGTTTTTTTCACACGAAGAAAGTTACTTATGTGCTTGCGCCACCTACCTCAGGACTTGTTGGGTTTTATATACCTCCTATCAATGGAATTAAACATTTTAAATCCTATTTACCTATCCCTCTTATAAAACTTGTAAACAGCAGTATATTTACTTCAAGGCAAATTAAATTTGTTTAAACAAATTTATTGACATTTACATAGTGTAATTCTATCATTGCAAATTTCATAATTAATAACATTGAAATAATAACAATAATGCTCTTAATTACATTAATTAATTTCTTGCTTATTATTTGTGACATATTTAGTCAATGATAAAAATATAATTTCGCAATTACACTAGTTTCAGTGAGCTTGTTCTTTACATCACCTCCACTGCAAAGGACACGTCAAAAAACTTGTCTTGGATCACTTCTTACTTTTAAATAATATTGTGTATGTATTATAAATTTGTCAGGTGTGTCTAGGGCTACACCTGTGCTCAGGAAATGGTGAAATATTTTCAGTTAAAGGTGATGATTCACCACTCATTTTTTTACAGATTTAGATCCTTAAAAAGAGATCAATTTCCCGAGAAATTTGGAATGCGCATCCGGCCACCTTTTCCACCTGAGTGAATTACCCTTGATATTTAGACATAGATTAAAGAAGAATGCTATTGTTGTGTCTTGTGCTTTTAAATGACACATTTTTATGCAAATGAAAACCGGCCAGCACGT